TTTCCCTTGTCACATAATTGACTTATGCTCAAGAGATTGTGTTTAAGACCTTTAACAAGCAAGACATTATCTATAGAGGAATTTTCAGATTTACCTACTAAACCAACGCCGATAATTTTTCCTTTGCTATTGTCTCCAAAAACTACGTTTCCTCCTTTAGCGGGTTTGATTTGGAGAAACTTGGATGCATCCCTGGTCATGTGCTTGGAGCATCCGCTATCAAGGTACCAAAGTACACTTGATGCCTTCAGGCACACCTATGAAACACATCAATGAGTTTTAGGTACCCAATTTACGTTGGGTCCTCGGGTGTTAGGTATGTGATGGTAGTGTGCTTGATTTTGTGATAGGTGCCTATGCCTAGTGTAACAAACGGGAGCAATATGGCCTATCCTATTACAATAATGGCAAACTACATTGGGGTTGTACATGTGCCTAGGTTCATAATAGTTAGAAGGTTTAACCATTTTGTTCCTATTTTGTGAAAATGATGGTTTTTGGAAATTTTGAAATTGGCCTCTTCTAGGTGCTCTAGCATTATTTCTTCTTATTTGAGAAAATTCATTTTTATGCAAAAAATCATTTTTCTTAAGTTGCCTACCATGACCATTTTCATCTCTAGGTTTTAGTCTAGGTTGTCTAGTGTCCTTCAGTTGACTAGGTTTTCTGTTATCTTCATTTTTAGATTTCTTATGTTGAACCTTAGATGATTGTCTAGGTGGTGGCTCAACATTATCTTTAGCTTTATTTTTATCAAAACCTATTCCTTCCTTAGAAAAATGCATAGTGTGAAGAAGTAAATTTAAGTCTTTGTGAGGAGTATTAAATTTCTTGACCGTGCTCTCAAGTTTAGCGACTTGATCTTTTAAAGCTTTGCAAGACCCACATTCACTTGATGAGCTTTCTGGTTTGTCAGCGCTTCTTTTTCCAAAAAATTTGTTTTCTTGTTTAAGTATTTCATTTTCTTTTTCCAATTTTTCAAAGTCGTTTTCAAGTAAAGAAAGTCGTTTCTTCACAGATTTATTTGTTTTAGAAGCGCTAACAAATTCCTCATAAAGTTCATGAAGTGCTTCTAGCATTTCTTCAAAAGTATAAGAGTCGGAAGAAATGTTACATACCTCTTGGACGTCGTCGCTTTGATCTTCGTGCGCCATGAGGCAGAGATTTGCAGCTTCGTCCTCCTCTTGGTCGGTTGATTCGTCACCAGAATCGCCACCCCAAGAGATGTAGGCCCTTTGCTTCTTGAAGCCAGGCTTATCCTTGCCGTGTTTGGCCTTTGGACACCTTGGCTTGATGTGGCCAATCTCGCCACAGCCGTAGCACTTGGGAGGACCGTCGTGCTTCCTTCCTTCCGCTCAAATTCCTTCTTCATGAACTTGTGGAACTTCTTGATGACGAGCCCGAATTCATTGTCGTCATCACTTGAAGCCTCTTCCACCGGTTCCTTAGTGGCTTTGAGAGCTATCCCCTTCTTCTTTTGTTCATCCAAAGACGGGGTTAGAATAGTACATTCATAGGTTTTAAGGTTACCTCTTAGCCCGTTGATGGTGACGTTGGAGACTCCGATGGATTCATAGATTGCATCGGCTTTTGACCTCCATTCGTGTGTGAGACTCCGCAAGATTTTCCTCAGGAGATCCTTGTTGGCGTAAGTCTTTTTGAGAGCATGAAGATCGTTGATGATCTTTGAGAACCGGTCGAACATGTCATCGATTTTCTCACCTTCTTTCATTCGGAACATTTCGTACTCTTGGGTGAGAAAATCAATCTTGGCTTCACGAACTTGATCGGTACCTTCGTACGTCACTTCAAGCTTGTCCCACATCTCCTTGGCGGTTGTGCAACAGGAGATCTTTCGGTAGTCATCGGGGTTGACCGCACAATATAGCATGTTGATGGCCTTTGCATAGTTTTCAATCTTCTTGATGTCCTCGGCATCAAATTCGTTTTCGGTCTTTGGGACCGTGGTTTCTCCCACTTTCTTCATAGGGATTTCTTCGCCATTTTTGATCACCAACCACAATTGGAAGTTGGTGGAACAAATGTAGAGTCTCATCCGTTCCTTCTAATAAGAGTAGTTGGTGCCATCAAAGAGTGGTGCCTAGAAGTTGATTGACCTTCTCCAATTCTTGCATAGAGATTTCTAGAAGAAGAGCCCATGATCGCTTTACTCTCAAACGGTTAAGTTTGGACGCGAATTAGGCTCTGATACTTGATGTTAGAATAATAGACCAACGCTAGAGGGGGGGGGGGTGAATAGCGTTTGATCAAGAAATCGCAGGAATAAAAATGAATAAACGAGAAGTAAAGATAAAAGAAAGAGGCACACCGATTTTACCCTGGTTCACCACAACTTATGGCTAATCCAGCCTCCCGAGAGATTCTCTCGAGCTACACTACTATCTTGTTAAGCTTAACGGTGCTTAACAAACCCGTACAACTTGAGAATTCGAGTCATACGAACCTCAACGAACCTTCGAAGGAAACAGCCCTTCCTTCGAACAACAAGAGAAATACCTTCTCTTGTCAAGTGTCTAAGAACACTAAAAACACTCAAGAACAATACTCTCTTTTAGAGTGGATGATGAGTAAACTAAGAACGCTCAAGAACACAACACAAGCTTCACAAAAATGGCTCTCAAAAGCTATGAATAATTGAAGAATGATTTGCAATGAAAGAGTAGGAGTTGTGAAGTAATGTGATGAGTAAAACAGACCCAAACACCCCATTTTATAGTAGGAAAAATAGGCTCCAACGGACCAAAGTATTTAAGGGGTGATTGGCACAATTTGTGGGATTTGATGAAATTTGGATCTGCTGAAATTCACCCAGACAGCGCTGTCCTAGGCCTGGACATCGCTGTTCTAGGCTAGCGTTTTGAAAAATGGGAAGCAACGGTCATGCCAACAGCGATGTCTAAAATCCCTACATCG